TTGCTCTGTCACCAGGCTGGAGTGCAGTCGTGCAATCTCTGCTCACTGCAGTCTCCGCCTCCTGGGTTCAAGTGATTCTCTTGCCTATGCCTCCTGAATAGCTGGGACTACAGGCACGCACCACCACACCTAGCTAATTTTTGTATTTTTAGTAGAGACGGGGTTTCACCATATTGGCCAGGCTGGTCTCGATCTCTTTACCTCATGATCTGCCCGCCTTGGTCTCCCAAAGTGTTGGGATTACAGGTGTGAGCCACTGCGCCTAGCCTATAGTTTCACTTTGACTCACTATTTAATATTTCTTTTTAAATTATTCATGTAGTTGGAAGTAGCAACCCCCTTTTTTCTAGAGAATTTATTATTATTTTATTGTTATCTTGGTTTCTGCCCATTAAATTTCAGAGGGATAGAAGATAGTTGTATTAGTATTAGTCTGTTTTGTGTTGCTATTAGGGAATACCTGAGGCTGGGTAATTTATAAATAAAAGAGGTTTATTTGGCTGACAGTTCTGCAGGCTGTGTAAGAAGCATAGTGCCAGCATCTGCTTTTGGTGAGGGCCTCAGGAAGTTTCCAGTCATGTTGAAAGGGAAAGGGGGAGCAGGCATGTCATATGGCAAGAGAGCAAGCAAGAGAGAGAGGGAGAAGGTATTACAGTCTTTGAAACAACCGGGTCTTGTAGGAACTCATTACCACTCATTACTTCAGGGATGGCACAAAGCCATTTGCTAGATATCTGCTCCTGTGACCCAAACACCTCCCACTAGGTCTACCTCCAACATTGAGGGTCACATTTCAACATGAGATTTGGAGGGGACATCAAATCATATCAAAGTTCTGTCCAGCAGCAACTAGAGGGGGTACTTTAAAGTTAGTCATCTCCTATTCGACTTGTATTTTTAGACAGATAATCTTCCAAATTTCTCTATCATTATGTAGAGGTCACCTTGCCACTGGCCAGGTAGTTTGTGTTAATTTTATAGTAATATTTATTATCTTTTCAGTGGTTTCTGGCACCTGGAGGTGTTTTTGCAAGCAGCAGCAATACTTTGTTTGGGAGTATGACTTGGGTAGGGTTTTTAGAGTCTCCCTTCCATACATCTACTTTAGAGCATTAATCTATGTCTACTTGTGGTCTCCACCTAACATCAAAAAGTAGCATGTAAAGTTGGTGACATCAATATTCCACTGATGTGTGATTCAGAAATGTCACACCTTCTGCTAATGCCACTGTGTTACCAACATTAAAAAGTATTCACTGATTTATTTTATAAAACAATAGCTTTAAAAAATAAACTTCAAGGCAGGGCGTGGTGGCTCACGCCTGTAATCCCAGCACTTTGGGAGGCCGAGGCGGGTGGATCACGAGGTCAAGAGATCGAGACCATCCTGGCCAACATGGTGAAACCCCGTCTCTACTAAAAATACAAAAAGTAGCCAGGCATGGTGGCACATGCCTGTAGTCCCAGCTACTTGGGAGGCTGAGGTGGAAGGATCACTTGAACCCAGGAGGTGGAGGTTTCAGTAAGCCGAGACTGCACCACTGCACTCCAGCCTGGTGACAGAGCAAGATCTGTCTCAAAAAAAAAAAAAAAAGAAAAACTTTAAATTTTAGAATGGATTTAGATTGACAGGAAAATTGCAAAGATAGCACAGAGAATTTATCACTGGTGTTTTGAAATTTGTTTTACAATTTTTAGGTTTGGGGTTCTCTTTGGGGTTATTTGTGATGCCCCTGTACTTGTGTATACTGGCTAAGTAGAATATTTCAGGTAGTAGCTGGATCTCAGTCTCCTATAATCTGAGTACAGTATATGAACAAACTCTTCTACTGAAGAAGCATTTCCCCCTCATTGTATCTGTACAACTGTGATTGCTTTCTGGCTTATAGTGGGATACACTTCTGCACAGCCATGGAAGTGATTGATCAGTGAAAATAGTCTTTTAAAGTTGCACCTATCAAACTTTGAGGATATGAGGATGCACAATTTATGACTGTTTTATAAAAGGTATCAATGTTAGTAAGGCTTTTGCATATGTGGAGAATATGTCTTACAATTGGATTTGATGTTCTCAGTCATCTTAAAACCAAAATGGCCAAACATGCCATATTTTATGACAAAAAATGTACAGTTAAATATTTTATTGTATTCCAGATTATTCTGTTCTTTTCTTTTTCATAAAATAACATAATTTGATTATCTTTCTAATATTCTGTGAATGGATTTTGCATCAAGCATATTTGAGGTATAGATCATTTACAATACAGTGTGTTCATTTCCAATGTACATTTCCAAATTTCAGCAAATTTATATACCTGTATATATTATGAACACCTCTGTGAACACAAACTAGAAGATCTAGAAGAAATGGATAAATTCGGGCCGGGCGCGGTGGCTCAAGCCTGTAATCCCAGCACTTTGGGAGGCCGAGGCGGGTGGATCACGAGGTCAAGAGATCGAGACCATCTCGGTCAACATGGTGAAACCCCATCTCTACTAAAAATACAAAAAATTAGTTGGGCATGGTGGCACGTGCCTGCCATCCCAGCTACTCAGGAGGCTGAGGCAGGAGAATTGCCTGAACCCAGGAGGCAGAGGTTGCGGTGAGCCGAGATTGCGCCATTGCACTCCAGCCTGGGTAACAAGAGCGAAACTCCATCTCAAAAAAAAAAAAAAAAAAAAAGAAGAAGAAGAAATGGATAAATTCTTGGAAACACACAACTTCCTGAGATCAAACCAGGAAGAAATTAAAACTCTAAACAGACCAATAATGAATTCTGAAATGGAATCAGTAAACAAACAAACAAACAAACAAAAAACCTACCAACCAAAAAAAGCCCCAGAGCAGATGGATTCAAAAATTCTATCAGATGTATAAAGAAGAGCTGGTACCAATCCTACTGAAAATATTCCCCCAATCATGGAGAAGGGACTCCTCTCTAACTCATTCTACAAAGCCAGCATCATCCTGATACCACAATCTGGCAGAGACACAATGAAGAAAAGAAAACTTTAGGTCAATATTCCTGATGAGCACAGACACAAAATTCCTCAACAAAATATTAGCAAGCCGAATCTAGCAGTGCATCCAAAAGTTTATTCACCATGATTTGGTAGGCTCTATTCCTGGGATGCAAGGTTGTGTCAACATATATGAATCGGTAAATGTGATTCACCACATAGACAGAATTAAAAACAAAAATCATATGGTCATCTCAACAGATGCAGAAAAAGCTTTTGATAAAATCTAACATTTCTTCCTCATAAAAGCCCTCAGAAAACTAAGCATTGAAGGAATATACCTCAAAATAATATGAACCATCAATGACACACGCACAGCCAACATCGTACTGAATGGGCAAAAGCTGGAAGAAATTTATCTTGAGAATTGGAGCAAGGCAAGGATGCCCACTCTCGCAACTCCTATTCAAAATAATGTATTGAAAGTCCCAGCTAGAGCAATCATGCAAGAGAAAGAAATAAAAGGCATCCAAATAGGAAAAGAAGTCAAACTATGTCTCTTCACAGATTATTTTATACTTAGAAAACCCTAAAGAATCTGTAAAAAGGCTATTAGATCTGAAAAATGACTTTAGCAAAGTCTCAGGATACAAAATCAATGTACAAAAATCAGTTGCATTTCTATACACCAATAACATGTAGAATCTAGACTGAGAGTCAAGTCAAGAACACAATCCCATTTCCAGTAGCTAAGAAGAAAATGAAATATATGGAATACAGCTAATCAAGCAAGTGAAAAATCTCTACAAGGAGAGCTACGAATACTCCTGAAAGAAATAATAGATGACACAATAAATGGGAAAATGTGCTCATGGTTTGGAAGAATCAGTATCATTAAAATGGCTATTCTGCCCAAAGCAATTTATAGATTCAGTGCTATTCCTATCAAACTACCAATGTCATTCTTCACAGAACTAGAAAAAAAATTATAAAATTCATATGGAATGCCTCTCTCATTGTTTTTGAAATTGTTTTCTTTGTCTTTAGTTTTCAGAAATTTGATTATGTTGTGTCTTTGGCATTGATTTCTTTGAGCTTATTCTGTTTTGGGTTTGGTAAGGTAGGTTTAGATTTTTTGTCAAATTTGGGGAAATTTCATCTATTATTTTTGTGAATATTTTTTTGGCTTCACTCTCTGTCTCCTTTCCTTTTGTGACTAAAGTGAGGTGAATGGTGGATCCTCTGTTAGCCCCTCAGCAGGTCCCTGAGATCCTTTTTTTTTTTCCTGCCTATTTTCTTTCTGTTGTTCAGATTGGGTAATTTCTATTCTGTCTTCCATTTCACTTTTTTCTCTGTTTCTCCCATTCTGCTATTAAGTCCATACACTGAGCTTTTTATCTTGGTTATTGTATTTTTCAGTTCTAAAATTTCCATTTGGTTCTTTTAAATTTTTTATTTCTTGGCTGAGATTTTTCATTTTCTATTTGTTTCAAGTGTGTTTATAATTGCTTATTGAAACCTCTCTCTCTCTCTCCTTTTTTCGAGACAAAGTTTCAGTATGTCATCTAGGCTGGAGTGCAATACCTCGATCTCAGCTCACTGCAACCTCCGACTTCCGAGTTCAAGTGATTCTCCTGCCTCAGCCTCCCATATAGCTGGGATTACAAGTGTGTACCACCATGCTTGGCTATTTTTTTTGTATTTTTAGTAGAGATGGGGTTTCACCATATTAGCCAGGCTGATCTTGAACTCCTGACCTCAAGTGATCTGCCCACCTTGGCTTCCCAGAATGTTGGGATTACAGGTGTGAGCCACCATGTCCAGCCCATTGAAACATTTTTGTGATGCCTGTTTAAAAATTCTTGTCCATTAATTTCAACATCTGTGTCATCTTGGTGTTGGTGTCAATTCTCTTTTCTCACTCTGGTTGAGATCTTCCTGATTCTTGGTATGATGGGTGGTTTTTGGTTATATCAGGGAGACATTTTTGACCTTATGGTATGACATTCTGAATCTTATTTAAATCTTTTTTAAAGCAGGCTTACTCTGACACCACCATGATCAAGGAAGTGGCTATGGCCTCATTACTGCCAGGTTTTGGTGGAGGCCCAGGTCCCCCGGTAAGTCTCGATGAAAAACATACTGGCTAGAAGGGGGAGAAGCACCTTGTTAACTTCTCCCCACAGGCCTTCCCTGACACTTTGGTGGGTGGGAGAAGGCCATGTTACTACTGGATGGTGGCTAAAGTTCCAGCTTCTCTCTCGACCTCCTCTGATTCAAGTGGAGAGGAGGAGTGGCACCTTTTTATTGTTTGGTGAGAATGGAAGTCCAGGATCTCTGTGTGGTGTCTCCTGACATTTTAGAGGAGGATGCCATGTCACCACCAAGTGAGGATGCAAGTCCTGGATCTCTACTTGATCTTGTCTGATAATACCTCAGCAGGGGAATTTTTTTCTTGAGATGGATCTTGCCTGCTGCCCAGGCTGGAGTGCAGTGGTGTAATCTTGTCTCACTGCAAACTTCACCTCCAGGTTCAAGCGATTTTTCCTGCCTCAGCCTCCTGAGTAACTGGGATTACAGGCACAGCCACCACACCCACTAATTTTTGTATTTGTAGTAGAGACAGGGTTTCACTATGTTGGCCAAGCTGGTCTCGAACTCCGGACCTCAAGTGATCCACCTGCCTTGGCCTCCCAAAGTGCTGGGATTACAGGTATGAGCCACTGCGCCCAGCCCAGCAGGGGAATTTTAAGTGTGCCTTGTCCCAGCTAGCTGAGGGTAGAAATCCAGGCTGCCACTCAGCACTTGCTAATGGGATGACAACAGGGTGGTCTTTCCCATGATGTTTGGCCAGGATGGTGTGATGACTTTGTCTAAGAGTTTTCTGTCTTGCCAGGTTACCCCTTAACTGGTCTTTTGGCCAGAGAGACCAGGCTTTCTTGGGGATTTTTTTGGTTTGTGCCCATTGGTCTTTCCAGTGATTTCTCCAGCATCCAGTTCCAGATAGATGAGGCATAAAAGAAAACCGAGGGAACTCACTGCCATGTCATTCTTGAGGTCCCAAGGTCTCTACCTGGTCTGTCTTCTCTCCACCTTTAAGAGTCTTTTAGTGTTTGTTTTATCTATAATATCCATGGCTTTTAGCTATACTTAGTGGGAGGTATAGGAAGTAGTGCCCCTATTTAATCTTAAGTTCATTCCTTTTTCTAGCTGAGCAGTATTTTATTGCATAGAAATGTCGCAGTTTGATCGTTCATTTCAGCAACCTGTTGATGAACATTTGGACTGTCTCCAGCTTTTGGCTTTATGAAACAGTGCTGCTTTGAATGTAATTTAATACTGTTATGAATATATGTTGTGAGGTCTTTGTGTGGACTATGTTTTCACTTCTCTTGGGTAAACACCTAGGAGTGGAATTGCTGAGTCATGTGGTAATTGCATGTTTAACTTTATGAGACATTGTCAAACTTTGTCACAGTAGTTGTACCATTTTACTTTCCTATCAGCAATGTTCCAGTTGCTCTACAACCTCACCAATGCTTGGTTTTAATAGTCTTTTAAGTTTTAGTCATTCTAATTTTAATTTGCGTTTCTCTGGTGACTGATGGTGTTGAACACCTTTTCATGTACATATTTGCCATTCATATAGCTCATTCAGTGAAGTGTCTGTTAACATATTTGGCCTAGTTTTTTTTTATTGGGTTGTCTTCTAGTTATGAAGTTGAAGAAGTTCTTTATATATTCGGAATACAATCTTTCATTAGAGATATGTTTTATAATTTTTTTCCTCTCAGTCTATGCCTTGTATTTTTGCTGTCTTTTTAAAAAGAAAGCTTTATTGGACCTGAAATTTTCATTGTCTTAACTGTATCTTTTGAAGATAACAAGTTTTAAATTTTGATGAAGTTTGGTTTTTTTTCTTCTGTATCTTATATTTTTGTGTCTTATCTAAGAAAATTTTGCTTGAACCAAAGTCATAACCTTTCTTTACTATGTTTCTGTCTAAAAATTTTATAGCTCCAATTTATATACTGAGGTTTATTATTTATTTTGAGCTATTTTTTATATGATATGAGATAAAGGTTGAGATCTGTTGTTTTGCATATGGATATCCAATTATTCCAGCACCTTTTTGTGAAGATTATCCTAATTATCTTGATATTTTTGTTGAAAATCGATTGATTATATACACATAGGTCTACTTCTGGACTCTATCCTGTTGATCTATATGTCTATCCGCAATATTAACAATATTCTTATTAATAATATATATTACTATTTCACATATTAATATCTACTGCTGAGCTAGCTTTATAGTTAGCTAAGTCTTAAAAGTCAGACAGTATAAGTCTTCTAACTTTGTTCTTATTTTTCTAGATTGTTTTAGATATTCTAGATCCTTTGCTTTTCTATTTTAACTTGAGAGTCTGCTTTTATCCCTTTCTATAAAATAGCTGTTTTGATTTTTATTGATGCCTAGATCAATCTAGGATGGTCTTGAACTCCTGACTGCATGATCCACCTGCCTCAGCCTCCCAAAGTGCTGGGATGGATGGATGGATACATATATATGTGTGTGTGTATATATATATATATATATATATAGAGAGAGAGAGAGAGAGAGAGAGAGAGCGCCGAGCTTTGCTCTGTTGCCCTGGCTGGAGTTTAATGGTGTGATCTCAGCTCACTGCAACCTCTACCTCTCAGGTTCAAGTGATTCTCCTGCCTCAGCCTCCCAAAGTGCTGGGATTACAGGCATGAGCCATCACTCCCAGTGAAGAATTGATATCTATACTGAGTCTTCTGATCCATGGGCATGGTGTACTTCTTTATTGTTTATTTATGTGTTAACGTTTCTCGGCATTTTATAGAATTTTAATTTTCAATTTTGGTCATTTCTTGTGACTTTGAAACCAGTTTTTTTTCTTTCTACCTTCTTTTCTCTGTCCTTCTATCCTACTTTTTCCTTCTTCCTTCCCTCCCTCTTTCCATCCTTTCTACAGTTTTTAATTCTTTCTTCCTTTTAAAATTCAGCCATATAGTACATATCTTGAATCCTTGTTGGCTTTTCATTGATTTATTACAACTTAAAATGCATTCTTTAGACAAATGCATTTGGCCATCCTTTAAAATGAAGTTAGGCAGAGATTGCAGCCAAGCACACAGCACTTTGTGTAGAGAGGCTGTTCTGTATAGAATAGTTGTTAAGAGCACAGACTGTGGATCCAGACCACTGTTGTTTGCAGTTCTGTCTCTGTTATTACTAGATGTGTCACCTTGGGAAAGTTATTTCATCTTCTTTGTGTCTCAGTTTCTTCATTTGTAAATTGTGAAAAAAAGTATCTAGATTGGATGATTTTGGGGAAAATTAAAGGTCAATACAAGACAAATGATTGGAATAGTAACCAATAAACACTGGATTAGTGTATGATAATACTATTATTATTATTATTATTATTTTGAGACAGAGTCTCCCTCTGTTGCCAGGCTGGAGTGTGGTGTTGCGATCTCAGCTCACTGCAACCTCTGCCTCCTGGGTTCAAGCGATTCTTGTGCCTCAGCCTTCTGAGTGGCTGGGATGACAGGCACGTACCACCACACCCAGTTAATTTTTGTATTTTTAGTAGAGACGATGTTTCACCATGTTGACCAGGATGGTCTTGAACTCCTGACTGTGTGATCCACCGGCCTCAGCCTCCCAAAATGCTGGGATTACAGGCATGAGCCACCACGCCTGGCCTATAATACTATTGTGATTATGATCCACTGTCTACTGGGAAAAGAAGCTTGCAGTGGCAACAGAAATAAAATGTTGAAGAATGCTGACTGAAGCCTAGGAATGCAGAGGTTGGAAGGGTCAGGGGAGTTTTCAATGATAATTTAATACTGAAGTCTTAAAAAAAAGTTTAAAACCACTTTTATTGAGGTATGATTGACAGGAAAAGCTATTCATATTTAATATATACATCGCAATGAATTTGCAGATAAATACGTGCCTGTGAAACCAACATTACCATCAAACCCATCATCATCTCCCAAAGTTTCCTCCTGTCCCCTTCTGTGATAATAATGATGATGATGATAAGTGACTTTTTTTTTTTTTTGGCAAAAACCCTTGACATAAAATCTTTTAGCAATTTTAAGTACAAAATATAGTATTGTTAGCTATAGGCAGTATGCCATGGAGTAGATTTCCTGAACTTACTTATCTTGCATAATTGAAGCTTTGTACCCTGTCATCACCACCTCCCCAGTTTCCCCTCTGTGCATCCCTTGCAACCACCATTCTGCCCTCTGCTTCTATGAATTTGACTTTTTTCTTTTTTTTTTTGAAACAGAGTCTTACTCTGTCACCCCTGCTGGAGTGCAGTGGCATGATCTTGGCTTACTGTAGCCTCCGCCTCCTGGGTTCAAGCTGTTCTGTCTCAGCCTCTTGAGTAGCTGGGCTTACAGGCACCCGCCACCATGCCCAGCTAATTTTTGTATTTTTAGTAGAGACAGAGTTTCACCATGTTGGTCAGGCTGGGTCTCGAACTCCTGATGTCAGGTCATCTGCCTGCCTTGTCCTCCCAAAGTGCTGGGATTACAGGTGTGAGCCACCGCACCCTACCTGAATTTGACTGTTTTATATTTCACGTGTAGGTGAGATCATACCGAACTTGTCTTTCTGTGCTTGCCTTATTTAACTTAAAATAGTGCCCTCTAGGTCCATATGATGATCACAAATGGAATCATTTCCTTTTTAAAAATGCTGAATAATATTCCATCATATGTATATGCCACAATTTTGTTGTCTGTTCATCCATCAATGTCCATTTAATATTGCATATTAAATATTCAACCTTGAATATTGCAAAGAATGCTGCAATGATCATGGCGGTGCAGATATCTCTCTGAGATACTGATTTGTTTCCTTTAGATATATATGCCCAGATGTGAGTTGCTGAATCATTTGGTAGTCCTATTTTTAATTTTTTGGGGAACCACCACACTATTTTCCGTAATAGTTGTTCCAATATGTCTTTCCACCAACAATGTATAAGAGTTCCGTTTCTCAACATCCTTACCAGCACTTGTTAGTTTTGAATTTTTGATAATGCTCATGCTAACAGGTGTGAGA